GCTCTTGGCCTTCACAAAACCGCAGGGGGGGACCCGACCGATAGCCGTGGGCGAATGCCTTCTTCGCATAGTGGCCAAGGCAGCACTGTTCCTGACTGGGGCGGCGGCACGATCACACTTCGCGTCTCTACAGTTCGGGGTAGCAGTGGCTGGAGGGATTGAGGCGGCCATTCACACTGCGCGCACATACCTGGAGGAGAACCCGGGCTCGGTGGCGCTGCAGATTGACCTCGCCAACGCGTTTAACGCGGTGGAAAGGGCGGCGGTATTCGAGGGGCTCAAGAACGAGTCCCTTGAAAGCCTTCTGCCCCTTGTCCGCCTCTCCTACGGAACTCCCTCAGCACTCCACCTCGACCATGACTTCGGCGTGGCTCCACTGCTAAGTGCTAGAGGCGTCCGCCAGGGGGACCCTCTTGGCCCCTTGCTCTTTGCGGCAAGCATCCACCCACACCTTACCGCAACGGCACTAGCTCACCCAAGGGTCGTCATTCTCGCCTATGCAGACGACATAACGCTGCTAGGCGAAGCAGAAGCGTGCACGGCGGCATTTACACACCTCACTGCCGCACTGATCCACATAGGCCTCGAGCACAACCTTGGGAAGTGTGAGGCTTGGTCTGCAACCGCCATAGACCCCGCCTCTCTCCCTCCGAGCTTCCCCATTGCAGCAGACGGACTGCGGATATTAGGAAGCCCAATCGGGACCCCAGATGGCTGTGCCGCCAGAGTAAGGGAAAGGCTTGCAGCAGCAGCAGAACCCTTGCCGCTCCTGGCCCAAATGGACCCCCAATTGTGCCTGCTGCTACTCACCCGCTGTGTGGGCCGGCGAGCATCCTTCCTGGCCAGAACCACTCCGCTAGAGGCACTACCTGAGGATGAATGGGCGGCATGGGGGGAGCAACTGCTGCATACCTTCCTGGACGCGACCCATATCATGCTGCCAAGGAGTGAGGCGGAACAGAGGAGAATCTGGAGGCAAGCGGCGCTGGCCGTAACATTGGGGGGGCTTGGCATTACAAATCCTGCAGTTGAAGGGAGCTATGCATACCTTGCGTCCGTGGTGGGCACCTCCCACTTACTGCACTCCCTGGCTGAGGCACTCCACCCAGATGTAGCAGCCCTCCTCCCCCTAATGGACCCCACCTCCGGCTCCGCGCACGCCCTGCCTGCACGCCTTGCAGCAGCGGAAGCAGCCCTCCCCCCCGAGGCTCTAGAAGCTCTCCAGGCCGGGAAAGCAGACCCACAGGGCCTCAAGCTGCAGCAGTCTCTAGCGCTGGCGGTTCAGACACGCCGCTTCCTGAGGGTCATGAACGAGGCAAGGCGGATGCGCCCCAACCCCCTCTCTGGCCATGCCCAGAGAATGCAGTCGGTGCTCGGCCCTGGTGCGGGAGATTGGCTGCTGGCACGACCCATCATACCCTCGCTTAGGATGGGACCCTCCCAGCTCTCCTCCGCTGCTGCGTTCCGCCTGGGCCTCCCCCTACCTGTCCCCAGGCGCTGCGACTGCCGCTACCGCACCAAATTCCCTGATGACCGCCTCCCAAACCATCTCATGCGCTGCGAGAAAGGGGGGGGAAGGATTGCGACTCACCATGCGCTCAGGGACGAGATTGCTTTGATTGCGGCAGAGGCGGGATTCACGGTGCACAAAGAAACCTATGTATTCTCTCTCGTTGAAAACCTGAAGGCGGACGTCGCAATCCGCCATCCCCGGACGGGAGAGGTTTGGATGTGCGACGTGACAGTGACGGACCCCGTTTCTCACCAAGATGAGAACTGCAATAGAGCACCGGGGTGGGCGGCTAGGGCAGCGGCGGACAAGAAGGAGCAGAAATACGCGCGCCGGAATGCGTGGGTGGGCTTTCATGCCCTAGCGGTAGAGACATATGGGTACCCCTCGCCCGGGGTGTTGGCATTTTTGCGGCAGTGCGCGGAGCTGGCGGCCAAGTTGCGATTCAACGCAGCCCCCAACTCCTACGAGGCCGCCAAGCTGCTAACGGAATACCGCCAGCGCTGGAGCGTGTGCCTCCAAAAAGCACAAGCCAACGCCCTCCGCTGCAAGACCAACGAGGCGATAGCAGCGGACGAGCTCGGCATGCGGGGCCCCTTTGCCCCCCTTAGCGAAGGCCAGCTCTACCAGCTAATAGAGCCCCCGTTCGACCTTTAGGGTCGGACGGAGGGGGCGGGAGGGAGTAAGGGAATGAGGTAGTTAGGTAGACCGAGTGTTATGTCTGGGTTTGCATGTGTTTGCATCTTCCCATGTATCTCCCATCAATCAATACGAGGACCATTCGAGAGAGAGAGAGAGAGAGAGAGAGAGAGAGAGAGAGAGAGAGAGAGAGAGAGAGAGAGAGAGAGAGAGAGAGAGAGAGAGAGAGAGAGAGAGAGAGAGCACTAAAAGACACGGATGGGGAGTAGGAGAAGAAGCTAGAGCTCGATATCACGGCACGTGCTGTGATCAGCCCCCCGTACAATTTGGCAGGCAGTGGGACATCAGAGTTGCTGCTTGCATGGCATAGATGGTCTGCTATGGCCTCGCTGACAGCCTTGTTCACAGCTGTGCTGTAACTGGGTTACAACAATGTGCGTCGCATGCCACGTGTGATTATTATGGAGAAAGTGTGTTGCACGATGCATGCCCCTCCTGCTGAATGGCACTGAGGCCACTAGTGAATACAGGCGAGCAGTGGACAGGTGAAAAGCAATGCATTTGATTGCCATCATCATCATCATCACCGATTGTATGCTGTGCTGCAACAATCAGATCAGCACTCTCTCTAACCTGATGCATCTTTGTTACCTCTCCTTGTCCGGGCAGGAGCCACACCAGGGGTTGGACCTGCTGCTGCTTCTGACGCTGCTGCTGGGCAACCTTGTGTGGCTTGTGCCGCTCTGGGGTGTAACTGCAGTGCGACTCCACCCTTACGATGGTGAGCTCACTGAACTGCTTAGTGTTCTCAGTGAAGAGCAGTAGCTGGTTAGCTGGCTAGCTGGTTAGCTGGCTAGCTGGTTAGCTGGCTGGCTAGCTGGTTAGCTGGTTAGCTGGCTAGCTGGTTAGCTGGTTAGCTGGCTAGCTGGTTAGCTGGTTAGCTGGCTAGCTAGTTAGCTGGTTAGCTGGCTAGCTGGATAGCTGGCTAGCTGGCTAGCTGGCTAGCTGGCTAGCTGGCTAGCTGGCTAGCTGGTTAGCTGGCTAGCTGGTTAGCTGGCTAGCTGGTTAGCTGGTTAGCTGGTTAGCTGGCTAGCTGGTTAGCTGGTTAGCTGGTTAGCTGGCTAGCTGGTTAGCTGGTTAGCTGGCTAGCTGGTTAGCTGGTTAGCTGGTTAGCTGGTTAGCCCCCACCCACCCCAGCACGACAGTGAAAGATACCAGCAGTCTGTATCGTTCCGTGCACTAAAGAAACGCATGCATCTCACTCAATCCCCGCACCCGCGCCTCACCGCACCCATCTGTGATGTGCCTCCGCCCAGCGTCCAATCTCGCAGTTCTGGCCAGCGAGTGGGGCAACTTCAGTGGCAGCGACACGTGGCAGCGCCGCGAGGTGGACTGCCGTGCCATGGAGGGCATCTGGTGTGACAGGGATGGCCACGTCACTGCCCTGTGAGCGCATGCACGGACCTGTCTGAGCCCACCCAGCCGTGCAGGCGGCCCGTGTGTGCAGTGTGTGCATGGATCAGCGCCTTTGAGGGAGTGGTGGAATGTGGTGTGGAATAGTGCAGTGCAGCATGTGGCGCTGAAGCAGTGCAACTGAGCTGCTCTCCGCAGTCGTGCTATGCAGCTGAAGTCCCCTCCCCCTTGTGTATTCCAGTTTTGTCTCTTCAATTTATACGTGCCTATCTATTTGTTTCTTAAAACGCCGCACTCTCCGTCTATGCCATACTGATGCTTCTTCTCATGCCCTGTTGACGCATCACTGTACCATGTGGCATGCCACGTTGCCAAAAGAAACGCATGTGCAAGCTCTCTTCTGCCGCCCAACGAGTCCCTCCACCGCAGAGTTCTGGAAGGTCACCAACTGGATGCACCAATACCCGACACAATCAGCCACTTTCAACGCCTCACACACCTGTGAGCTCTTGTTCCATCTCCCCGTGCGTCAACAGGGTGCGCTCTTTAAGACCTCTCACACGATATCAACTTCGTTCCTCTGTGTTCTCCTCCGTCCATTCCACGTCCAGAAGGTTGTGGATATGCCAGCAGGTCCGGTCTGTGGTCCTGCCAGCAGGTCCGGTCTGTGGTCCTGCCAGCAGGTCCGATCTGTGGTCCTGCTAGCAGGTCCGCTCTGTGATCTCAATGGTGCTGAACGTGCAGGTGCAGTGCAGCATTGGTCCCTCTCTGCACTGTTGCTTTCTCAGCACCGTTGTCCTCTCAGCACCTTCTCCAACCGAGCACTCTTGGAACAGCTTGGGATCGGCTTAAGTCGGTCCAGACTGGCCTGGGTCGGGCCCAGGTTTGACTCAAAGGCTGGCTGATTACGGTCCAGGTGGACGGGTCTACCGCCTCATAAAACAGTCGCATAGAGGCGGTAGACTGGTCCACCTGGCCTGTAATCAGGAAGTGGGTGAGAGAGTAGCAGCGCAGACACATTAAGACCGTCCGAATGAAGAGCTCGAAAGGCGAGGAATGAGGCCCAACACCCCCAAATTCGAGACTGAGATCCTGCTCACGGCAACACCCCAACTCATTGCATGCAGAAAAATCTGCAGCCCGGCTCGGCAGACCACCACGAGAGGCCAGGCCAGGCCGCGTCTGGCATGGGAGAGGATGGCTGGCCCACCCAGTCGGCCAACCTGTGACACGGTGTGGTGCCCTTGTGTAGATGGGACACAATGCCGAGCGACATAGGATGGTGTGGGATTAAAGCAATGTGTTTTTTTAGAGTAAGTACAAGGATCTTCACAGCAATGGGTGAGTGGTGTCTGGTAAGCACAAGGAAGCTTGGGTTCTTTTATATGAAATATAAATTTCATACTTCCATTCCAATTTTCCCGCCCTCCATGTCCAGAAAGCTCAGTTTCTGCCAAATCACCGGGAGCATTCCGAATGTCATCTCCAACTTGGCATCCCTTGTGCTCCTGTAAGCCCTCACTGGCTCCACGCTTAGGACAGTTTTTTTTTCCTTGGCGCTTACACTTGTCATTCCCGTTCCCATGCATATCACTTGTCTTCCCTGCGGCCTCCTGCCACATCCCTCATCACAGTGAACTAGTGGGCAATCTAATTTCAGGCAGTCTTCCTGCAGACATCAGCTGTTTGACCCGCTTACAGATTCTGTGCGTATAAATGCACAACTTCTGGTACATGGGCATAGTGAAACACTGGTATGGTATGTATGTGTATCTTGCAACAAAAATAGTTGCATCACCCACGTCTATATAAGCAGAAGCTTTGAGCAGGATGTGTTCTAACTTTAATCTCTTCCCTGGCAATCTAATCTCTGTCTTGTTTGCCTTCAATGGTCGTCGATTCTTCAATTTCAGGCACCTTGAATTCAATCACATTTCTGGGCCAATAGACTCCGTCTGCAACTTAGTGCAACTCAAAAGACTGTCAGTCTGCTGCTGTAACTCCTCTCTTTGCCCGCTGCTGCCCTGGTTGATTGTGTTTCCTTCTTACTCGCACGTCTCTCATGTACAAAGTCAAGTCAAGGTTGAACACAAGTTAGCAAGACAAATACACGCAGTAGCCAGCGCATGAATGTGCCACGTGAAAGAAGGAGTGTTTTGAGACGTCTCAAAAGACAAATACACGCAGTAGCCAGCGCATGAATGTGCCACGTGAAAGAAGGAGTGTTTTGAGACGTCTCAAAAGACAAATACACGCAGTAGCCAGCGCATGAATGTGCCACGTGAAAGAAGGAGTGTTTTGAGACGTCTCAAAAGACAAATACACGCAGTAGCCAGCGCATGAATGTGCCACGTGAAAGAAGGAGTGTTTTGAGACGTCTCAAAAGACAAATACACGCAGTAGCCAGCGCATGAATGTGCCACGTGAAAGAAGGAGTGTTTTGAGACGTCTCAAAAGACAAATACACGCAGTAGCCAGCGCATGAATGTGCCACGTGAAAGAAGGAGTGTTTTGAGACGTCTCAAAAGACAAATACACGCAGTAGCCAGCGCATGAATGTGCCACGTGAAAGAAGGAGTGTTTTGAGACGTCTCAAAAGACAAATACACGCAGTAGCCAGCGCATGAATGTGCCACGTGAAAGAAGGAGTGTTTTGAGACGTCTCAAAAGACAAATACACGCAGTAGCCAGCGCATGAATGTGCCACGTGAAAGAAGGAGTGTTTTGAGACGTCTCAAAAGACAAATACACGCAGTAGCCAGCGCATGAATGTGCCACGTGAAAGAAGGAGTGTTTTGAGACGTCTCAAAAGACAAATACACGCAGTAGCCAGCGCATGAATGTGTGCATGACCTCACCTAACTACTTCTCCGCTCATACCCCTAAGCTAACCATCTAACCATTCCAACAATTACTTTATGGAATTCGCCTACTATAGCAGCAGTATAACTGTGTGTTACTGGTTGGTGGTTAGTTGGTCTCTGCTAGTTGTTTGTTAGCCCTTCAACTTCGCCCTGAACGTGAGAGGTATGCACCATAAACGCTGGTAAGAAAGGGCAATAGATTTGCCAGATTTGTTGCAATGGCAAAGTTGCCAGATCTGTTGCTAGGGAGTTTGTACCTCCAATTCTTTTTCGTGGATGTCAATACTTGCAGAATCATCACGAATCTCAATACAAGGGAATAAAACACTTGCATTGCAATTGGCGAAATTCAAAAGTGTCGACTGGCACATTTTGCGATTCAACCGTGCAGTTTCCTGTAATAAATGCTGCACTCAAACGTGACTCAAACATGCTTGATTTGAATATGCAAGTGTTCATGTCGAACATCTATGTGTTCGGCTAGTATTGGAGAACACTCGACCTCTGTTTGAGTGAAATCAAGCATGTTTGGTTTGGCTCGATGAGGTGCTTGACTAGTGTTCGACTCGAACACGTTCGTGTTATTATTTTTCTCAGCTTAGTAAGTACTGCACACACACACACACACACACACACACACACACACACACACACACACACACACACACACACACACACACACCACAAATATCACAAACAGATACATGTACCATTGTTTTTGGATACATTTCTGAATGGTGTATACACACTTGCCTCCCCCCCAGTTCTCCCCCAACACATTCTCACCTCCCTTCTTCCCTCAAAGCTCCTCCCAAGCTATCCAGTCCTCAGTTGTCTTACCTATGATGTGACGGTTTCCTGATTTATACACGCCATTCAGAATTCTCATTCGCAACCAGTTCAATGGTTCGATTCCTCAAGAGCTTGGGAACCTCAGGCAGCTCAATAGCTTGTGAGATGTGCACTTGTGCTGTCACTCGCTCATGCATGGGCGGACTCATAAACCATTGACTGGTTGTTTAATCTCGTTGGAAGACAATGTGCGTGTGGTGATTGGTTTCAACCACGTAAGTTTGCGGAAATGAACCCAAGAGGCAATTCAAATGTGTTTCTTGAACCGTTTTGTCTCGGTTAATCATGCACCTGAAGCGGGTGGTCGGTTTTGTGGTTGTTGTAATTCCCTGCAATGAGCTACGAGCAAGAAGACCCTACAAAACAAGCTTGGAAAGCTAGTGTGAAGCGAAAGTATTGTTGTATTATTGATGAGTAGGCTATGGCGAGTGACTCAGTCTCAATGAGGATGGTGGTGCTGCAATGCCAGGTTTGCGCTTGAGGTTGGGGGAATTATGGGCTTTGTCGGTCGGCGACACCGAACGGCGTGAGGATGTTGAGGGCTTAGGGGAAGGGTAGGGAGATGTGCATTCTAGGCTTTATAAAATAATGAATGAAGGGTCAACATTTTCAAGATTGCATTGTAGTTGCCCCACTCTTTGGCCAGCACTGCAAGGCTGGGTGAGGGCACAGATGGGATCAGGTGCAATGGGTGCCGAAGTGTTGTGGAAGCAAGAATGTCCCAGTGGGTACCTTTGGTCTTAGTGGTCGCGGGTTCAACTCTCATCGGCAGCACCTTCTCTTCTCATTATGCCGAACATGACACTCCCACACTCCACCACACTCACCCACAGTGAAGTGTGGCCACAGTTGGCATTGCCATCTGTCCACCCATCCCATACTCACCTTGTTGGCTCCTATGGTGTGCCACATGCTGCCATGTAGGCTGTTGTTCCAGCCTGGCCCACATGTGCAACATGTGGCCTCAATTGCTAGCTTGGCAAGGTTGGCTAGCCCTGCCCTCAGCTTTGAGGTGCTGCAGTCCGTACCTGATTCCCGGTACGTGGACATTGCTGTCAGCACCAGCCACCACCCCATCTTCTCCACATGGACTCCTCTCGTCGCTGCTGTCTTCATTCTCACCATCCTCCTTCTCCTCCTCCTCTTCCCTTATGGGGCTCCCTACGCATCGGCATTCACGGCCTCCTCATTCAATATGGAGCGGACTTCGTCGTGGCTGGTGGACAGCGGCGCATCCTCCCATATCTGCTCGGATCGTTCGCTGTTTTCGTCTCTCAAGAAGCCCAACGAAGAGATCCTTGTTCGTTTTGGTGGAGGAGAGACTTACAAGGTCTTGGGAGTCGGCACGGTGGTGGCTACTCTTCGGTCACCAACATCGGAAACCACCATTCAGCTTGACAACGTTCTATTTCTCCCTTCATCAGTTCACAACCTGCTCTCTGTTCGTGCGCTTGGTGCTGCCGGCGTTGCCGTCTCGTTCCTCGCTGCTGGGCGCGTTGTTCTCACATCTGATGACGTTCCTATTGGCGAGGGCTACACCCGCAACAATCTGTTTTATCTTCAACTGCATCATGGGAGCAGTGCTGCTCCTTCTATCAAGCCAACTGCATGTCCAGCCTCCACCACCACCTCCTCGTACCTCTGGCATCGTCGTTTCGGGCATCTCAACATGCAGGCCTTGTCAACACTTCATCGGCAGCAGCTGGTCACCGGTCTTCACCTCTCCTCCACCTCGATTCCCCCCTGCATCTCGTGCTATCGTGGGAAACAAACACGTCAGCCATTTGGCGTGTCCCATTCTCGCACCACAGCCCCACTCCAACTCATTCACTCAGATATTTCTGGACCGCTTTCATATGGAACTACCATTGGCGGCGCTCGCTACCTTCTCACCTTCATCGACGACTACTCCCGCCACATTACAGTGTATCTCCTACGCCACCGGTCGGAGGCACTTTCATGCTTCAAGGCTTACGTCACTCGGGTGCACAACATGCATTCCCCACACACCATCAAAACCTTTCGCTCTGACGGTGCCTCGGAGTTCACTTCCAAAGCCTTCACTTCATTCCTTACAGCTCATGGCATCGCCCGCCACCTCTCCACGCCATACACACCTGAGCAAAATGGAGTAGCTGAGCGGGCCAACCGGACTTTACTTGAGATGGTCCGTTCCATGCTCCATGATGCACACATGGACAAAGGCTGGTGGGGTGAAGCCGCTCTTACTGCTGCCTATCTTCGTAATCATGCCATTAGTCGGGGTGGTTCAACTTCTAAGACTCCCATGGAACTATGGACCGGTGCACGTCCGGATGTATCACACCTCCGCATCTTCGGTTCACCCGTCTCGGTCCTCATTCCTTCCCAACGGCGTTCTAAGCTCGACGACCGAAGCACGGCCGGCATCATGGTTGGATATGGTCATCTCGACGGCACCAAAGCTTACCGCATCTATATCCCATCTCAGCACCGTGTCATCCTTTCTCGTGATGTCATCTTCATGGAGCCCTCTGCACCGCCTTCCGACGACTCTCGCGACCCTCCATCGTCATCTCCACCCACATCCTCCTCACTACCTCCTCCTACACACCCTTCTTCCTTGGACCCAATCTCCCCTCCCTCTCCTTCCCCCACCATACCTTCCTCCACCAACCCCCACCCACAATCCCCAAACCTGCCCGCACCAGCCACATCTTCTCCTCCTCCATTGTTTTCCAACCTTCCTCTGCCCTCGACGCCGCAAGACTTTCACCTTCCATCCTTCTCTCCTCCCTCTTTGCCTCCCCCTCCCCATTGCACGACTCGCTCCTCCCCGCCATCCCCTTCAGCTCTTCCCGATCCTTCCCTTTTCTCCTTCCTCAAGGTCTTACCATCCCCTTCCGAACCCATTGACTTCACTCTTCCTCCTCTTTCCAACACCTCTGCCAATGCTGCCCTTCACCATCATTACGAACCTCAAACCATTCATGAGGCTCGTACCGGCCCTGATGCTGCCGAATGGATCAAGGCTGCTGATGCGGAACTCGCTGCCCTGCACGCTAATGACACCTACAGCATTGTTCCTCGACCACCCAAGTGCAAGCCGATTCCATGCAAATGGATTTTCAAGGTCAAGAAGAACGCTGATGGTTCTATTGAACGCCGCAAAGCCCGCCTTGTTGTCAAAGGCTTCAAGCAACGTGATGGTGTTGATTTTCATGACACCTTTGCTCCTACCGTCCGCTTCGCCACCCTCCGCTTGTTTCTCACCATAGCTGCCGCTTTCAACCTGGACGTCCATCAGCTGGACATCTCCAACGCCTTCCTCAACGGCACCCTTGATGAGATTCTCTACATGATGCAGCCTCCCGGTTATGACCTTCCGGCGGTCCATGGTGTTGAGCAAGTTTGTCTCTTGCACAAACCGCTGTACGGGTTGAAGCAAGCTCCGCGATGCTGGTACCGCAAGCTTCGTGAGGAGCTTGCTGCCTTTCACCTCTTTGCTGCTCGTGCGGACCCCGGCCTCTTCATTGCTCCTCCTCACTCACCTTATCGGCCTACAGCTGCATCCTTCTTCATGCTTCTCGTCTATGTTGACTACCTCATCATTCTCTCCTCCTCCTCCTCTCTTCTTGCCTCATTCAAGCATGCCCTTTCATCTCGCTTCAAACTTCGTGACCTCGGACCTCTCTCCTACTACCTTGGCTTTCACATCACTCGTGATCAAACTTCCCGCACTCTCCACCTTCATCAATCCAAATTCATCACCTCCATTCTAGACACCTACTCCTTCTCTCCACTGAACCCCGCTGCCACTCCCATGGACACAAAGTTTCAGCCACCCGTGACTTCCTCCCCGCACTCCTCCTCCTTCCCTTACACCTCGTTTGTCGGCTCCATCATGTATGCCATGGTGGGGACCCGTCCCGACCTCGCATATAGCGCTGGAGTTCTTGCTCGTCACCTTCACGATTGGTCTACTCCTCACGTCTCGGCTGCCAAACGCATTGCTCGCTACTTGAAAGGGACTACCTCCCTTGGGCTTCTCCTTGGTGGCATTCCCGACACCCTCGAACTTCATGGCTGGTGTGACGCCTCTTGGGGACCGGAGGGGGAGCTGCGTCGCTCCGTTACGTGCTACTTGTTCTTCCTCGGTCCGTCACTCATCTCTTGGCAGTCCAAACGCCAAGCCGTCGTTGCTACCTCTTCATGTGAAGCTGAATATTACTCTCTGGGCGCCGCGGTGCACGAGGCATTATGGCTTCGTTCGCTCCTTACTGCAGTTGGACTTCCCCCTACCGGCCCCACCCGTATCTCGTGTGACAACAACAGTGCCATCATTCTCGCCAAGGACGATGGCGTCTTTCATCCCAAGGCCAAGCACATCGACATCAAGCACCATTTCATTCGCGATCATGTTGCCGACCACTCCATCACCCTTCACTATGTTCCTACTCAAAACAACCTCGCTGACATTGGGACCAAGCCTTTGCCCCGTGACCCTTTTCTTCGCATCCGTGGTCTTCTCGGTCTCACCCATGTTTCCTCTTGAGGCACCCTACCCCGGGGACATCTTTGAGGGGGGGTGTTGTGGAAGCAAGAATGTCCCAGTGGGTACCTTTGGTCTTAGTGGTCGCGGGTTCAACTCTCATCGGCAGCACCTTCTCTTCTCATTATGCCGAACATGACACTCCCACACTCCACCACACTCACCCACAGTGAAGTGTGGTCACAGTTGGCATTGCCATCTGTCCACCCATCCCATACTCACCTTGTTGGCTCCTATGGTGTGCCACATGCTGCCATGTAGGCTGTTGTTCCAGCCTGGCCCACATGTGCAACATGTGGCCTCAATTGCTAGCTTGGCAAGGTTGGCTAGCCCTGCCCTCAGCTTTGAGGTGCTGCAGCTAGCCTCAAGAGTTCAGCCACATAAATGTGGCTTCCCACTTCTCTAGAACTCATCCTTGGAAAGGACATTGCTCTAGCCTTTCAGGCTTGTACCATCTTCCTACTAAGGATATATTGTTCTTCTCTCATTGTGCCTCAAGTTCACCGATCCTCATTCTACACGAAGAAACTGAGCGGATGGGATCTTGCTCAGAAATTGAACGGAGCCAAAGAACGAGCGTGAGCGTTGAACCGAAGAGCCATCCTCCTCCCACCTCCCCCCATCCGTCCCCCCTTTTCTCACATCCCCCCTTCCGTGCCTCCGTTGGCTCCACGGGCTTAACGCACGCCTCTTCTTGGCTTGAGATCTGGTGGCCGAAATACCACTGATAACTTATCATGGATGGGTTGCAACGTGGTAGGCTTGTGTTTAAGTTGTCCAGGCTCGGCTCAAACTGGCCCTGGCTCGATCCATAGGTCAAATTGTCACAGGTCAAATTTTCTCACGTCAAATTGTCACAGGTCAAATTGTCACAAGTCAAATGGTCACAGGTAAACTTTTCTTGAGATGAAAAAACTTGTCTCGACCAGTCAATCTGTCAAGACACATCCGGCTCCAGCTGAATCAGGCTCCGTGTTCATCCACTTGAATGCCTTTCCCTCGTGCATTTTCTGCCACTCTGTTGCTGCTTGATTCGCGTGCAGAAACATTGAACAGAACCGGTTTAATGGTAGCATCCCTTCATCAATAGGCAACCTGGCTTTGAATCACTTGTATGATAGCAAGCAACCTTGTGCAGAAGGTCTTTGCTTGTGAGTAGCTTCACAAAAGTGAAGGTCAAAACTCATCATCTAATTTCTTGCAACATGGTGTGTCCAGCGTTTGAAGTCCTTTGGTAGCAAGTGGGCTTTTTATTTTACACCTGAAGCCCCCTCTCTCGTGCATTGATGTGCATTCGTGTCTTGCTTCTTCATGCGTGCCTTCTGTGTGGTGTGGCAGGGCTCTCAGCGCCAACCAGCTCTCAGGCTCCATTCCTGACTCTCTCAGTCGCCTGCAGGAGGTCACATACATGTGAGGCCACTGGCTATAGCATACCAGGACAAGCCTCTGTCTGTATGCCTTACCTTTTTAAATATGCACGTGCGCATGAGGGTAAAGTGCTAATATGGGACGCTGCTGCCTTAAGGAATCATGACCTGAAGGTGGTGGCGAGACGAGGTTGGTGAAGTGTTTGAAGAGTCGCCAGATCAGAGGGCTTATGTTTGTGGAGATGTGTAACAACGAAGGAAGCGAGACGTGTGGTGCGAGAGTGGTTGTCCATAATGAAAAAGGGTGGAGGAAACATGTGAGGTACAGGGCCTAATGTCGAAAGTGGATCTCAACCTGAGGCTAGTGAATTTCATAGAAGCAACCTTCACAATGTAATCCATTGTGCACTTGTGATCTCTGCATGTATGGCATGAAGAGTTTTACACCTTTTCCCCTTCTTTCCATGCAACCACTTTCTCTATCTCCCGCCACTAAGTTCTGCCATGCCAACTGTCAACCTTGCATGTGCATGTGGGGAGGGGGGGAGGGGGGGAGGGGGGGATGGGGGGGAGGGGGGGAGGGGGAGATGGGGGGGAGGGGGGGGGCTCACATCCACCAGCGCACTGGCAGAGAATCAACTGACAGGATCCATCCCTGAATCACTCACAGCAATCGCTGGTTTGCGCAGCCTGTGAGACTCGTTCAACCTCACAAAGCCCATCCCCACCCTGGCCTGGGTTGCACAGCCAGAGCTGGCCACTCCCGATTCTTTCGCTCACACACTTCGAAACAGCATGCAGTACCGTATTCCCCATGTAGAGGGCCCCACTTAGAATTGGCCCCAGAGCATAAAATGAGGCAAATGGGCGATAACGGCTATTCCAATCATATGCCCCGCCTCAATTGGTGTTAAGCTACATGCACTTAATATAGAGCAACGCTAAGTTTATGAATGGTTGTTAAAAAAAAATATATATATATTAACAATAGTAATAATAATAATAAATAATTCAAGGGTGTTACATAACTACGTTGCCAAATACGCTCTGGGTAGGGTGCGTACCACGTATATACGATTGCGTACGTACGTGGTACGCTAATACGCTTCGAATTCGTGAAAAAACGCGCGGGCAGCCCGGCGAAAAAAAAAAAATCGAAATTGAAAAAAAAATGCGACGGTTATTAGGGCTTCGCGACTGGTTACGCGACCAAGCACATCGCCCAACCCACGTCTGAAATTCAAATTTCAGAATCCAAACCTCCCACCACCCCAACCACACACCACCCCACCAAACCTCTCATATCCAACCACCCCTCTCAAATGTCCAGCACGTCATGTGAGCATTTACTCGTTGACGCCTTCCTATCCTTCATTCGTTTCTCTCCTCCTCAATTTCATTCCCGAGCTCTGATCTCCCGTGGGGAAGCTCGCTAGAGGGTGGGGATTATGTGGATGAACTATGTATTTCTGGATATTTATGAAATAAAATATTGACATGTGTTGTTGTCGGCCTGAACCCCCCCCCTGAAACAGGTTTTTTTATACCTGCCCGGGAAAAAAAGTTTTAGCTGCCCGCCAGCGTATTTTTGCGTATCAGCAGTACGCCAGCCTTGGCGTACCGCGTATATACCAAGCGTATAATACGCTAACGTATTATACTCGGTACTCGTATTTAGCAACGTAGTTACATAACCCCCACTATCCGGGGGATTACGGTATCTGATTTCGCACTGTCTTGTGATTGAAGGGGTCCACACAATGGAGCATGCTTGCACTCCCTTGTGCTTTGTGAAGTGCTGCAACTGGTAGGCTTGTAATTACGGGTTGACCTCGGAAGGATTGTAGCACAGCCCTTATATATTGCATTCTGTTATGCTCTGACGATGGTAGGCTTCAAATCGGCTCGACTGATTTCATCCAAATCGGGCCTTGTTGGGGCATCGTACCTCCTTGAGAGGTGCTGGAATGCAGACAGCAGCTATGATTGATTTGACATGACATGTCAAGTGTCGCTATGCTAGTCAAAATGCTAACATTCTGGTTTACTAAGCCACAAATCCAAAATGAGCATATGAAAAGAGCGAGTGCGTGTGAGCTGAAATGGGGCTGTGTGGGTTGGGCTCTGTAGATGTGCAGCGGAAAGTGGTGGTGGGAACGGGGGATGGAGGGGAAGAGGGAGGGGAAGGGAGGGGGGGGGGGAGGGGAAGGGTGGGGAGGGGTTGGGGAGGGATTTGTTAGTGGTGTTTGTGGGGTGATTTCTGTTGAGTGGAATTTGTGAAATCGCAATGCATTTAACTTTGGTACAACAGAACAGCAAACAGTTATGAGATCCCATATATGTGTATATATACGTATATATGTGTATACATATGTGTGTATGTGTGTACGTGTGTATGTACGTACCTGTGTACGTGTGATACGTGTGTACGTACGTACGTATGTCTGGATGCATGTACATACGTACGTATGTATGTATGGATGGATGGATGTATGTATGCATGTATACATGTATGCATGTATGCATGTATGCATATGCTTGTATGCATGTATGTATATTTTATTTGCTGCACCATCAAGCATCAACTTCATTTTCTGTTGAACAATTTCGGCCTAGTTTGTCTCATTCTCACACCAAGCTGCAAGCTGGCTCAAACACATCTGGCGACTGTAGTGTAGCGCCTGCTTGAAGGCTGCCACACATCTAATGGTTGTAAGATGCACATAAGTCAGCCTCCTTATTAAGAATACAGGAACTATCGTATCTTCCTCCCTGGCACACTACAGCCCACTTTCTTCTCCTTACACTCATCCCATGCCCTCAGCATGGCTGAGTCTTGGAATTGCTCGATTTGACAGACATCAAGCCACAGCCTCTACGAGACAAGCCTGGCTTGTGCGCATGGCTGCTGCAAGGCACACACATGGTGCATTGGCTGCCTCCGGCCCGTCCCTAGGTATCTGCACAACAACCGTTTGAGTGGGTCAATTCCAGCATCACTGGCATCACTGCAGAATCTGGATACCCTGTGAGTCTCTTTCTGCCCCACCTGCAAGTCTGTTGCAAGTTGCAACTGATGGCTTTCCATGAATGTTAATCTTCGTTGTTGTGATGTTTGGCTCTCCTGGTTCGCTTGTTTTTCCCTCATTTGTGCTGATTCCTACTGCACACCATGCTCATTGTGTGCTGCACTGCTCATCATTCACATTGCGCACCATACATACTCAATCTGTTGCACAATCAATCTGCGTACAAGCTGTTGCACATACATGTTCCTGTCAGATTTTTCAGCATTAACAAGCTGTCAGGAAGCATACCTGCTTCCCTGGGTGACCTCCTGCTTCTCAAGTACCTGTAAGTGGATGGACGTAGATCAGAACCTCCATCTGGTACGCAACCTGCTGCTGAGACACACTGCTCTAGGAGAAGCTTGCATGGCAGTTTGGTGACACCTGGCACTAGTATCTAGGCAAAAGCAAAGCGCGAGCAGCGGTTTAGCTCGTCATTTCATCAGATTGAACTGCCAGATGATGACGGATTCTGGTCACCACCAGATCTGGCTCGATGATCCTCTTGGGGCCGCTCGTTGGAGAAATACCACGTGAGAACAAATTCAAGTCTGAAGCGTATATACAGACTTAAATGTTTCAAGTCTATTTAGCTCGAATGTGTCCTTTTTTCTAAACTCTAGCTTGGATCTGTAATCAAGGGCATGCAAATTTTGCTATCCACGTGATCTGGTCAGCTCATCACCAGCCCACCGCGCACACAATGACCCACCCCGGCTAGGGTCTTTCATGCAAACCACCAGACGCCAATCCCCGTTATCAGCCCGTGACGAGCCGGTCCCAGCTTGGCCGTCACAGACTATGAGCCATAACTGCCTCGTGACAAGTGGATCCTGGTTCGGGCCCTGACTCGGCCGGCCTGGCTCATGTCTACTACCAGTGCCCATCAAACCCCCTCTGAGACTGCCGTCTAGCTTGCCTGAACTGATGAGGCCGAGCTGATTGGCAGATCAGCAGATACTGGATTGGTCTTTTGCCCACTATGCTTGTGTCTCCTTTGTTACTCTCTCTTTCGTTGTGCTTTCACATGTGCAGGTCTTTCTCATTCAATCAAGTGTCTGGAACCATACCAACAGCTTTCGGAAAGCTCACCAACCTGCTCCACTTGTATGCATGCAATCATTATGGTTGTCAGCTCATCACTGCTCCAATCCTCTGGTACACAACTTGCATCCTCTGTTCAAAGTCCCAGAGACAAATGTGGTATCAATCTACACGATCGTCTGCTTGCAGGAGCTTCACGGGCAATCAGATGTATGGGGCCGTCCCAAGCGTCCTCAGCAACCTATCCAAGCTTCGATCCTTGTAATCAGCGTTGGTGGTGTACAATCTTAGAGTAAATGCTCCTTGTAGAGAAGGTACAGAGCTGAAGCGGCGTTGTGAATGTATACCAATATATGACAAAGAAGATGACATGTATGAGGCAGGCACAGGCACAGGCTAAATCTGGGTCAGCCCAATTTTAACCTATCCGGACTACCTATCCCAGCCGAAACCTTGCCCGGTTGAGTTTGGCTCGGTGTTCCTTCACTGCGTTCATGTTCGTTGACCTCACGTTCTGTGTGTTTAGTGTTCGTTCCTTTACCAAGTGTGTGTTTTTGTGCTGAGTGCACTGCTAAGCTGGAAAACATACGCCGGTCGCTACGCTAAACGCATCGCATGAAGCGCAAATACTAGATGCATGTTATGCACGGCACTATGCTGATTGGAAATCTCTGGTTCGTCAGGCTGGACACGGCTCAAGCTGTTTTTGTGCATGCGTAACATACCGGTTCTTGTTCTTGTACCCTTCTTTTCATAGCTACCTACTTTGCATCCATCACTGTCAATCACAACTCGCGGTGCTTATGTGCCAAAAGTGAGAGTAGGAAACTGAGACCTTACTCCAGGTGATTCTGTGTCTTCTTGCAGTACAAGTAAAACATGGAGCTGGAGGATATCTAGCTCACTATGTCCCTTGCGCTTCTCCCTCCCCATGCACGTGTGCATGCATGTGAGTGTGCGTGTGCGTCTCAGCAATCTGCAGGACAATGGCTTCTCAGGACAAGTGGACCACATCGTGCAACCCATGAAGAGCATTGAGAGACTGTCTGTATTGTTCTGCAGCACCACTAACTGACTGCTGTTTTTCCAGAGTATACATTCATGCCAAAGTCCCAACGCCGTTCTCTTGGCTTTTGATACCAAGGCCCTGACGAAGTGACTTTTGAGTCGACTCAAAAGCCTAAAGCCGTTCTCTTGGCTTTTGATACCAAGGCCCTGACGAAGTGACTTTTGAGTCGACTCAAAAGCCTAACGCCGTTCTCTTGGCTTTTGATACCAAGGCCCTGACGAAGTGACTTTTGAGTCGACTCAAAAGCCTAACGCCGTTCTCTTGGCTTTTGATACCAAGGCCCTGACGAAGTGACTTTTGAGTCGACTCAAAAGCCTAACACCGTTCTCTTGGCTTTTGATACCAAGGCCCTGACGAAGTCTTCTCGTGGGCTACTTGGGCCCAGGGTCCTAGCAAACTCTTGTCTTCAGCTGCTTGCTTTTAGCATCATAACAGGCTTTTGGGCTACTTGGTGATTTGACGAAGATTGAGGGTTGCAACAAACCTTTCTTGGCATGTTACAGTTACTTGCTAGCCAAACAAACTCGAAATTGACTGAAAGACAGGAGGACCAGGGTGCATTTTGGAGATTGGGAGGATCAAGCTGGATAACAAGGACCAGGGTGCATTTTGAGCTTGGTTGGGCAGACTCCATATGGTTTTATGGTTGGGGTGGTAAGGTCGTATTCAAATTGTAGCAGCAATGCAAGTCAGAGGAAGGTTGAGTAGGGGGAGGAGGTGGACGGGGAGTGGGGAGGGGAAGTGGTGAGAATGGTCTGGAGGGGGAGGAGAGGGTAATGAAAACAGAAAATTCCTACAGTGATCCCCTACAGCTGATGTAAATGCAGATCTCAGGCTAGGGGATCACCCCCTTCCTGTGTGAATAGCATAAAATAAGACAAGACATCAGTGTGTACCAGAACTTGATTTCACTTGTGCACCAAAACCCATGAACTTGGTACGCCTATATCCTCTTTTTTTTTTGGCATCCTCCCTCCTCCCTCCCTCCCTTCCATTTCACAACTGTAGAACCCTGGACCATAATCTGTTCACTGGCCGTGTACCCAGCCCCGCCTCGTCCAGCATCTTAGAGTACAAAATGAACAACAATTTCTTCACACACGGGGACGCCAAGTTCAACTGCTCAGCTGCTGCGTGGAGCGCCGATCTCAACTGCCTCCCCACTGGCCTGCTCATCTGTGGCCGCGTTCCCTCCTCAAGGTCCCCAGCTGCCTGCGCTGCGTTTTGTGGGTTGGTGGCTGGGTCCACTGCCCCTGTGTGTGGGGGGCGTGGCTACTGCTCTGTAAATGAGTTCACTGGAAGGGGGGAGTGTGTGTGCGATCCCAACTACCTGCTTGACAGCACCAACACCAACGCATGTGTGCCTGGAGGTGCGTGTTCTCTCCACAACAGATTCATCATGTTTATTCTCGAGTGAGCTGCTGGTCTGCATCGCAAATAGATCTGTTTCTCAATACTAGTTCCGCGATTTAGGTGTTCTCTGATATCTGCTCTCCTCTGTGCTTTCTTCTCGTGCACCTGCAGCCGTTGGGGGATCGCTGGCATCGGCCTCTGCCTATGTGTCGCTGCAGGGCTCAGCCGCTGTGCTTTCCAACGGCTCCATTCTTCTCACAGGAGGGGCGCCCAACCAGCAGGGAGCAGCGTTTGCCTCTCCTGCGCTGCGCCTCTTCTACTTCCCCAACAAGCGCTCCCTCTGCGGGATTGAACTCGCATTCACCGCTGCCTTCAGCTTTGCCATGCGTCCAGTTGGCCAATCAGTGGGTGGAGAGGGCCTTGCGTTTGTGGTGGCAGCAGCTGGTTCTGGCAAGGGGGCGAGTGTGGGGCTGGGAGGGGTGGGGAAGCGGAGTGTGGCGGTGGAGTTTGACTCGGTGCTGAGTGTGAAGCACAGCGACCCCAACGACAACCACGTGGGCGTCAATGTGGGCGGCTCACCTGTGTCCCTCGCCTCTGCCACGGCCCCTCTCATCCTCAACGACGCCCACACCAAGCACGCCTGGATCCACTACGACCCCACCAGTGGCGGCACCCTCCGAGTCTTCCTCTCCTCCGACCCCCGGCAGCCCTTCGGTCCTTTCCTCACAGCAAGCGTGTCTCTCTGCTCCGTGCTTAAGCCCACTGCATCCGACTCTCTCTTCCTCTTCGGCTTCGTTGCTCTCTCAGGCAGCCAGCCCCAGAGGCACATCATCCTGACCTGGCAGTTCACCACAGGTATGAAGGTTTGTCAATCCTTCATTCACACCATACAAGTGTCTCTGTTTTGATGCGGCGCATGTAAAGTGTGACATCCATCGTTTTCAGTTTCGTGGAATATCTGTTTAAATATCCTCACATGTAACAAAAAAAAGTTTTCCTGTTTGCTTGCTTTGATCATTTCTGTTCATTCTTGTCGTCTGCCAAGATTCATTCCTTTCCCCTCTACAGAGTAACTAGATCCTCAAGTGGTGTCAAGGCTCGTTTCAAGATTGTGTTGCAATCTTCTCCCGGACCCGGAGATGGCTGATTTTCAGACGAATAATGATTATCTGACATTTCATTTGCAATCGTATCATATGCCCTGCCGTGCCGTGGGCTCTTTATTTTGTAAACAAGGTTCATGCATTACACGCAGGTGCTGTGCTGTGCATTCGTCCCACAGAAGTGCACCCACACAGCCCCCTGTTTTTCAAGCGTTTTAACCACACCCGGTGCTGTATATTCAGGGACTACTGACCCACAGAAGGCCCCGTCTTACATACATGACTAGTCTTTTTTCCTCCCCGCTACCATCACCCTTGCTTTAACCTGATCGGGCACATCAAAAGAACATGAAGCCTGAGCTGCTTAACAAACCATGGGATGGAGGGAGTGTTGCCTTGCTCCTATCATTGTGGTACGGGTAACATTGTGTTTATACACTGTTATCTCAAGCTAATCAACATAGTAATCCTCCGCATGCACCTGAATCCTCCCTGACCGCACCAGCAGCGCCTCGGGCAATTCCTCCTCCAATTGGCTGCACCCATCCACATACACTTCCCGCAAACTCCTAGCGCTCTCCAACCCCTCGGGCAGCTCGCACAACTCTTCACACTCCTGCACATCCAGCACCTGCAGCAAAGGCAGGTGTGCGACGGCCGCGGGCAGCTTGTGCAGCAGCGGCAGGTTGTTGAGCTTGAGAGAGACGAGAGAGGAGAGATTGCCGAATCCGTCTTCCGGTAAAGAAGGGAGTTTCTTGCATTCCGAGACCATGAGGTGCTGCAGGGAGGTGAGGAGGGTGAGGGAGGCAGGTAGCGCTAGTAGCTTGGGCGCGGTCTTTATGGTCAGCACGCGCAGCCCTTGCATCTGCCCGAGGTCCTCGGGCAGGTTAGAAATTTCCATGTGGCTGAGATGAAGGCGCTGGAGGTGAGTGAGGGCTGTGATCGAAGGAGGGAGGGGAGAGAGCAAGGAGAGGGTGTGGAGGGTCAGGATTTTCAGTTTCTGTAGTGTGTGGATGTTGGGTGTTGAGAGGGTGGAGATAAGGGACAAGTCAAAGAGAGAAAGGCTTTCCAGGGAGGATGCAATGGGAACGGTTTTGAGAGTTAAGCTGTGTTCGATACGCAAGTGCTGGAGAGAGGAGAGGTGGGAGATGGCTTGCTGCATGTCCCTGGTGTTCTGTAGCGTGTTGGACAGGATTAGGGTTTGCAGGGTGGGTGGGAAGGGCGACTGCGAGGTGCGGGGAGCGAGCTTGGTGAATTTCATGCAGTCACGGATCTCTAGGTGGAGGAGGGAGGGGAGGAGGTGGAGACCTGAAGGGAGGGAGGCGAGGGAGGGGCATTTGAGGATGAGGAGGCGGTGGAGGGAGGGGAGGGGGTGGGGAGAGGAGGGCTGGATTGAAGGCTGAGGAGGGGAGTCTGTGTCACCGGAATAGGGGGCATCTGCAGTGGAAGGAACGTGGGCAGCAGCAGCAGCGACGGCGGCGGCGGCAGATGCAGCAGCAGCAGCATCAACAGCAGCAGTAGCAGATGCAGCAGCTGAAGCATCAACAGCAGCAGTAGCGGAAGCAGCAACTGAAGCAGCAGCAGCAGCGTTAGCACCACCAGAAGCAGAAGCAACAGCAGAAATTGCAGCAGACCCAGAAACAGCAGCAGCAGCTGCTGCAGAAGCAGAAGCAGCAGCAGTAGCAGACGCAGCAGCAGTAGCAGAAGCAGCAGTGGCGGCAACAGCAGCAGCAGCAGCCGCCGCAGTTGCAGCAGCGGCAACAGGAGGAGGAGCAGTAAGTGGTGGCAGCGTGTAAAGCAGCTTGCAGCGAGAGAGCTCAAGCTCTTGCAAGCCCACAAGGTTGCTCCACCCTGCGGGCATTCCCCTCAGCTTGTGGCAGTTGGAGATGCACAGCCGCTGCAGGCGAGTCAGCTGCGTGAACGATGCTGGCAGCTGCTGAAGCTCATGGCACCCGTGAATTTTGAGGGTGGTTAAGGAACTCGCGAGCTGCCTGAACGTGCTCGGCAGGTCCGTGAATGCTGTGTCCCGCGATTCGTCATCACCATCATCCTCATCGTTGTTGTTCTCGTTCAAACATACAGGGTCAAACATTGTTGTTGTAAGGCCTAATTCCCGATCATCCCTTTTTGACACCAAACCCTTCCATCCGAGAATGAGGCTTTCAAGGTTGGGCAGTTGCGAAAAAGATTCAGGAAAGGTTTCCAGCAGTGTGCATCCAGCTATTTCCACTGTGCGGAGCGCTGTCAGCTGCCCAATAGTCTCGAGCAGGGTATCCAAATTGTAGCAGCTGCGGATAACGAGGTCTTCAAGCTGAGTGTAAGTGGTTGGCAGAGTAAGCTCGCTCTCAGAAGCAGCAACAGTGAGTCGCCTCAGCTTCAGCAGCTGTCCAAACGATTCGGGCAGATCGCAATCAACTTTGCTCAGATGAAGTTCGGTCAGCGCGGACAGCTGCCCGAAATCTTCGGGCAGGGATTCCAACGCACACCCGAGAAGCTGCAGCTGAGAGAGCGAGTGCAGCCCATCGAAAGACGCTGGCAGCGACATGAGAACCTCGCACTTGGCCGCGCGAAGGTGCGTTAGGGAGGAGAGGAGGGCTACTGACTCCGGAATAGCCACAAGCGAGGGAAGCTCGTCGGGAACGAGAGACGCGAGGCGCGGAGCGTCACCGATATCCTCCGGTAACGAAGCGAGAGAACGGCAGTTTTGAACTGTGAAAGCAGTGAGCGAGGCGAGGGCAGAGGCCGAGCGCGGGAGAGCAGTTAAGCGAGAGCACTGCTGAATGCTCAGTTCTTGCAGCGATGGCACCTCTCCGACGCAGTCAGGGAGCGATTGCAGGCGCGGAAGGCTGGAGAGAAGGAAGCGTTTGAGGGAGGAGAGGTGGGCGGCGGAGTCTGGGAGAGTGGTGGCCACGACGGAGCGCAGGTGGAGGGTTTCAAGGGACGATAAAAGGCCGATGGAGTCAGCCAGGGAGATCAGCGCATGTAGGCCCTCCAGCTTCAGGTGTTGCAATTTCTTTAGCTGCCCGAGGCCGCCGGGCAGGTGCCGGAGTGTGACGCAGTGGTCGATTTTCAGCGAGGTAAGGGAGTGGAGGCGGGAGAGGGTGTGCGGGAGGGCGCGCACGCAAGGAGCGCGGATGCTGAGAGACCGTAACGCGGACAGCAAGCCAACGCTCTCGAGGAGCTCCCCCTGTGGCTCTGGTGCTGCGTCGGCCTCATTAAAAGCACCCGCGAAATCGAAATCGGCTCGGCCGCACGAAACCTCCAGCCTAGTCAGCTGCTGCAGGAGACTCACGGAAGCGGGCAGCTCGGGCAGGCACACGGGCAGAACAAGTTTCAAGCTGACCAGGCGGCGGCAGGCGGCGAAGAGGGCGGTAACGGCGGGCTCTTTTACTTTCGCGACAGCTTCGTCGGGGTCGTCAAAGCCGCGGTCCCGATCCCAGGAGCGCAGGTTCCTGTGGCGGTACAGCGACATGTGCGTGAGGGAGGGCGCGCACCCCGTGGCGATGGAGTAAAGGAGATCGTCTGTTATGGCGTCTAGCGCCGATGGGCCGATGTGTAGGTGCTGCAGGGTGAGCGGAGAGCGAAGGGGAAAGGAGGGGGAAACGGCCGAGGTGGGAGGAGAGGAGGAGGAACGAAGTGGGGAGGAGATGACGGAGCGGAAGGTTAGGGTGGAAAGGCGGCGGTCGGCTTGCAGAAGGATGGCGGGGAGGCTGAAGCGCGCCAAGCGGAGCCAGCGCTTGCACACGAGCGCGTGGTGGAACACCGTGAACGGCGGAGGCGGAGGCGGAGGCGGAAGGGGCGCGGAGTTTGCGGAGGTCCTGGAGGGGGAGGGCGGAAATGCAGAGGTGAGGATATGAGCAGCTAACGGCGTGTCATGGACGTCGGGGTCGATATGGACGGTCATGGTTCGCTCGTAGTTGGCGGCGTTCGCTGCGGCCTCGAGAGCTATGGCGGTGGTGAGCTCAACGACGCGTGCTAAACGCGCGCATTTGATTTTCACTGCCCGCGCGATGCACTCGTGCCTCTAAAAAATTTGCCTCCCCTACATCCTTCCCACAGACGGAGGTCACCTAGATGTAACCACAGGATGTCACCCCCCAACAAGCCCTGAACTTGCCAGCAAGTGCCCTGCCATGCGTCAGATTGTAGAATTGCGCGGAAGTCCAGTCCGTCATCCAACCAGATGCCACATTACGTGGAACCGAACCAATCTCGAATCTATTCGCTTTACAGAAACCTCGCTACATATATTGTTTCAAAAGGGTTTACCCTTCAAGAAGCCACAAACTCTACAACCCTATGCCACCGCTGACCAACGTACCTAATCAAACCAAATTGAGACGCTGCCCCCAATGTATCTTGCAAGGCACTCCGCCCATACTTAAACAGCAGGTAAACTATCTCTCTGATGAGGGTCGCAGAATCCGAGATGTTCTACACATGTTTCTCGCGGACAACTACAAGAGGTATCGCGGTTTTACAAAGCCGGGAGGGCCGCATAATAACCGGGACAGCACAAAGAGTTTATCGGCGGGTGGAGCAGCAGGAATGCAGCAGAGGCAGAATCAGAAGGGAGGAGGAATGGGGGAGGAACAGGGATGGAGGGCGGAGGGAAGGAGGAACAGTGTACATAAGTGTATAATAGCGCCCAAGAATGTTTGCGTGAGAACGTTGGGATACGGGTTGGGGTGTATGCTTCTTTTGTGTGACATTTCCTGTACAGGGCGAGACGCTGTTGACGCGTACAAGCACAGCTCAATCGAAAGGTGGCAGGAGCTGCAGTGCAACATGCAAGCCAAGCGTGTAACTGGCGGAGGGCTCGCGCTGGAGCCCATGCAGATCCAGACCGCGTGCGGTTTGTAAATACGACTCGGTACCCCCGAGCCTCGCCCGTGTGATGTATGTGTGGTAGAAGCGCTAGGCTAGGGCGGAAGAGTCATGTTGTACATAGCTGTGCTGAAACCCTAGTGTTGGCTGCTTCGTTGTATGTTTCCCATTCGCTTCAATGTAATCCTGTTATACCAGCCACGGGTGATCATGAGCACGCTAGGGAACCAGCTTGTCAGCCATTAGCAGAGAGGAGGTTTTCTGACATACAACGGAGAAAATCTCTGGATTAAAGAGCCATAGATGGTGCATGCAGACACGGTCTAGGAAGCGTTACGAACGGCCGCCGGTGTTGGCGGCGATGGCTACACCAGGATGGCGAGTGGGAGAAGTCACGGGTAGCAGTGGAGGTACGCAAGCGGGCGAAATGGAAGCCGGCGCCCGTAGGGAAACCTACACGACACCGCATCGCAGGCACAGCATGGGTGACCTGCCGAGCGAAGGCCGAGACGTGAGAGAAAGTTCGACTAGGAGACCGCTGGTGGAAGCAACCACGTTGGGGTCACAGCCACAAAGAGTAGAAACGCGGGGGGAGAGCTGCACCGACGGCGAGCTGCTCGGACGCTTGAGGCGTCTCTCCTTGTCGGAACATCAAGCGACGAAAGTAACGCGGGCGGGCAACGTGAGGTATGCCGCGCTACCCAAGATCGAGGTTTCCGAGCGCTTCGCGGGCACGCCGGGCGTGGGCAGCAGTCTGAAAAATTATATGATGCAGATCCGCAATGCGCAGTACCGCTGGATGAAGGATGGGCTGGAGCCAGAAGACTTCTTCCGAGGGCTCTCAAACACGGTGACAGGAGAGGCGGAAACTGCATATGGCATGGAGCTGGAACGCATGCTGAGTGAGCCGGCGCAAGCCAACGGAGTGACCTGGGACGTGGTGACGCAGTTCTTCGACACGTTGAAGCGCCACTTTCTCGTGCAGACGCCAGAGCGTATGAGGGAGTTCGCGTCGTTCAAAAGGAAGGCGGGAGAGTCTCTACTCGCGACATACGGCAGACTGCGTGAGCTCGCGGCGGACATGGAATGCAGAGATGATTGGAGGCTGGTCTCCAAGTTCCTTAACTGCCTGGACGAGCAGGTGGCCGGAGACGTACGAGGAAGGGTGTTCGAGATGGGACCATCGGCGACATTGGAGCACGCGTATGAGCTGGCGAAGAAACACGAGCTGGGGCTCCGCCTCTACGAAATGGAGAGAGGCGGCATGCAAGCCGAAGAACGACGCAGGTCAGCCTGGGCGGCCGTGGCAGCCGGAGAATCCTCCAGCAGGCGAGCCGCACGGGATGCGAAGACGCGTAGGTGCCATCGGTGCGGAGAGGAGGGACATCTACAGCGGGATTGCAGCAGGCCGCTGAGGTGCGATCACTGCCAAAAGGAAGGGCACATGCGCCGGGAATGTCTTGAACTCCCCACCTGCGAGAACTGCGGCAGGGGAGGGCATCGCACCTCTGATTGCTATAGCCGGAGGCCGGGGTCAGCAGGACCGAGGAATGAGAAAGACTTGGAGGCGCAGCTTCTGGTGCTGCAAGCAAGGATTCGGGAGTTGGAAGGGTCGGCTCGCAAGGAGCCCGCCATGCTGGCAAGGGAGGAGGAAGAAGGAGGTAGCGAAGCAGAGTTTGTGCTCGTGGTGCGGGCCCCGTGGCAGCGAGAGGAGATTGAACTCAGGAGTGATCGAGTGGAGAGGAGGCAGCTGCCAGCCCCGAGGGTGAGGCGGTTTCGTGGGTACGCGGCAGAACCGGAGCAAGAAATGACGTCAGAAAGACATCCCAAGGAGTGCATGGTGTGTTAGCTATCGGTGCTGACAATCAAAAAGGGGGCCATCCCGGTAGGAGGAGTGACAGTGGCGCAAGCCATCATCGATACGGGAGCGCATCACATCCTTCTAGGGAAAGGCCTGGCTCAGAGGCTGGAGCTGGACCAGCCGAACCGGCTCATTACACGGGGCATTCTGGTCATGACTGCAGAGGGGGAAGAGCCGAAGTGGATGCCCTGCACCCGCATGCCAGTGGAAGTGATCTTGTAGCCAGGCACCAAGGACGAATGCCGAATCCAGATGCGTTGCGGCATCTCGCCGTCGGAAGATTTCGATTTGCTGATAGGCATGGAGCTGCTGTATCGGGTGGGTGCCACCGTCTGCACCTGGCAGGAGAAAGTTCTCTACCGAGCACAGTACTCGAGGGACGACGGGCCCGTGGGCACGCTGCCAGTACACTTCGTCGGGCGTGAGCCGAGGGAGGCCTTTCGAGCGCGCATGGCGGAAGTGGAAGAACAGATAGAGGACTGGTCCTGGAAGCAATACGTGCTGGAGTGGGAGACACGAAAAGCGGAAGAAGAGAGGGCTGAGCGGGCCCTGGCGTTGCCCCCGCGGCTGACAGATCTGACTCGCCTGCAGGAACCAATCACCTTCGTCGAGCTATTCGGAGGGATCGGTACTGGGCTGGCGGCAGCACTAAAGGCAGGGTGCAGAATGAAGAAGTGGACACTAGTGGAATTAGACCCTGTGGTGCGCAGAATGGCCTTCAACCACGCAAGGAAGCTCAGGGGAATTTACCTGGCTCAACTGATGTTAGGTGTGGAGGCAGAGGCGGAAGAAGAATTGATCAACGATATAAGGGAAGTGGCGGCAAAGGACGTGCGACGGTGGGGAAGGGTGGATCTGCTCGTGGCGGGATGGGAATGCCAGGGAGTGTCAAGGGCCGGGAAGGGCAAAGGATTGGATGACCCCAGGTCCATGCTCTTCTTGGAGCTGCTGCGAGTCATGAAGCTGATGTACCAGCAGCACGGGAAGTACCTGTACATCCTGGAGAACCCAGACTTCTCGACCAACTGCAGGGAGCCGGTGCGCTGAATGCTGGAAGTGGTGGCAGGAGCGCTAGGACCGGGAGTGGCGTGGGATGCGGTGCAGCAAGGGTCCTACGCGCACAGGGTCAGACGGTATTGGCAGAATGGGGTGTCGGAAGGGAGACTCAGGTGGGAGCTCATACAGACTGAAAGGCCCTCATCGCGCCTCATGGAAGACATCCTGGAAGCTCACCGGGAGCCAGCGCCGATGACTAAGCCGGATCATCCAAGTCAGTTCCAGTGCAACAAGCCCGGGCTGCCGAGAGAAGCATGGCCCACCCTCATGGCGCACCACCAGGCACATGGCTTCGTGTGGAGCGAGGGGCTGCCAGGCCCAGGCATGGTGTATGACCGGCTGAAGGACCGTTGGGAAGAGCCCTCGGCTAGGGAGTGGGAGCTAGCAATGGGGTTTGTCCTTGACGCCACGGCAGCACCAGGAGTGGAGGAAGCCAAGCGGAGGGAAGCACTCACGTGAGCAATGGACGTGGAGGCCGTGCATTGGCTGGTGCACGTGATACAGATGCACCTTGCCTCAAAGCAGCTGGAGATGGAAGTGGAAGTGGGAGGGCCAGGAGATGCAAGCAGAGAAGAGGTGTGCGCCAGCCAGCAGAGAGCGGAACAGCGTCTGCTGGACATGCAGGTTGAAAAGCAGCAGCAGAGGGAGCGAGGATGGGCGCTAATGGCGCTGGGGGTATTGCCGGCAAGCGAAGAAGCAGTGGCGGCCAACGAGCCGACAGCACCCGG